GATACTGATGAACTTCAACAAATCTAGAAATAAAAAGGTTATCCAAATAGCTAGTGTGGTACATGTAAGTCATCAGATAAATACAAATAAAGACAAAGTAGTATTGGTATAGTTCAACCAAATGGCTATAACAGAAGACTGGAAAACCATGTATTAATGAAGATGAAGAACAATTTGGCTCTCATATTCTGCTGGCCAAGAGTGTACACTTGGAAAACAGGATCTTTTGATCAGTTGAACATACTTCTATCTTATAACCCAGCAATTCCATAGCTTTATTCATATTAGGTTAAAAACTGTAAAGCACAGAATAGAGAAATAAAGTATAGTATATTCATACAATGAATTACTACACACACAAGAATGGATAATAATACATAAAAATGAATAGCACAGGTATGATGTTGAATGAAAACACCAAGACAAAATAAGTCCACTAAAGTTTAAGAACAGGTAAAACTAAATTATGCTCATCACAATCAGAATGAAAGGATGGGTCACTGACTGAGAATACAAGGAAGTGCTAGGGTGCTGGGAATTTTAAAATCTGGGTTTGAGTTTAATGGGTATATATATATACAAAGAAATATGTGAAATGTATGTAATCACCTAATCTCATTTAAAGAAAAACAGTGGGATGGGTTAAGAGAGATGGTGACAATGTTGGAAACGCGCGCACACACACACGGAGCTATGCTAAACCATACTCATCACAATCAGAATGAAAGGACAGGTCACTGACCGAGATGAAACACTAGGAAGCTCTAGGGTGCTAAGAATTTTAAAATCTGGATTTGAGTTTCATGGGTAAATATATATTTTATATATATACACAAGGAGCTATATACATAAGATACGTATGTGTGTAACTATGTACACCATAACAACACCATCAATAATACACTTACATTCCCAACAACTCCATTAGCCTGCTTTTGTCTCTGTTGCTTTGACTGTGGTAATGGCACAGATGCAGGCTTTTTTTTCAAAGGTTTCTTTTTTTTTGACTTAGCTGTTTTCTTGGGTCCTTTGCTCTTCTGCTGCCATCCTCCTTTTGCCTTGTTTTTATTAGCATCATTCTGCTGTAAGTCACAACACATAGCACATTCAGTAATAGGATCATTTGGAAGTCACAGTAATTCTTACATGAGATTGGCTCAAATAAATGTTTCCTAAGTTCTTCTTCCACAGTAACCTAAGTTAATCAGAGAAATAAAACATTTCTTTCACCAGAAAGGACAGGTTAAGAAAAGTCAATTTTTTACCCCATCTTCTGCAGGCTGTTCCTCAGCAGCACAGATGGACTGTTCCTTTTCAAACACTTCCTAGAGATTGCAAAAGAAAAACATAAAATGTTAGCCTATGTTTATCTTCCAGATGAACAAATACAGCTTCCAAAATGTCTATTCGTTTAGCCCTTTTGAGGCTGGCTATAACTTGGGGGAAGGGAGGAGATTTAGCAATTACTAATGTATATATATTCAGGTAGATATCTTTTTCTATGTATGTGTGCCAGTCTTGGGCCTAGAATTTTGCTCAAGGCTAGCATTCTACCACTTAAGCCTTAGCTCTACTTTCAACTTTTTGTAATTTATTGGAGGTAAGGGTCTCAGACTTTCCTGCCCAGGCTAGCCTTAAACCATAATCCTCAGATCCCAGCCTCCTGAGTAGCTAGGATAGCAGGATGAGTCACAAGCACCCAGCTAGTAGCTACTTTTTGAAGTATACTATCTTGAATATATTTTGAAAACTATAGTGTACTTAAATTCAGTAACTTAATATATAAATTTATTATAAAATAAAAAAATTTCAGTTAAAAATTTCACCCTACTTTAACAGCAACCAAATGAATATTTAAAATTTTTGAATGTAAGCCAGGCGCCGGTGGCTCACACCTGTAATCCTACCTACTCAGGAGGCTGAGATCTGAGGATCATGGTTCAAAGCCAGCCCGGCAGAAAAGTCTGAGACTCTTTTTTTTTGTTTTTTTTTTTGGGTCCAGTCGTGGGGCCTGAACTCTGGGCCTGGGCACTGTCCCTCAGCTCTTCAGCTCAAGGCTAGTGCTCTACCGCTTGAGCCACAGCGCCACTTCTGGCTTTTTTTCTTTTTGCTTATGTGGTGCTGAGGAATCAAACCCAGGGCCTCAGACATGCAAGGCAAGCGCTCTACCACTGAGCCACCTTCCCAGCCAAGTCTGAGACTCTTATCTCCAATAAACCACTAGAAAACTGGAAGTGGTGCTGTGGCTCAAGTGATAGAGCGAAAAAAAAATTTTTTTTGAATGTATCACATTATTTTCTAACATTAAAAGTTTAATGGGACTACTATTAATTTAGTTTATCTTTTTTTTTTTGCCAGTTTTGGGCCTTGAACTTAGAGCTTGGGCACTGTCCCTGAGCTTTGTTTGCTCAAGATTAGCACTCTACCACTTGAGCCACAGCACCACTTCCAGCTTCTTCTGTTTAGGTGGTGCTGAGGAACCGAACTCAGGGCTTCATATATGCCCAGCATGCATTCTACCACTAAGCCACATTCCCAGCCCTATTAGTTAATTTTTTATTGCCAGTGATACTGCTCATTGGATCTGTGCTTAAGGAGATCAGTAAGAAAATCAACAAATCCTAAAACAATAATTACAACCACTACAAAAGCTGTGAATTTAAGATCTAAATCTCACTAAAAACCTGACCAGAATCTATAGTAGAAGATGGAAAGTAATATGGTTATGCTTAATATACTTCATGGAAGTAATAAACAAGTAAGCACTTAAACAACAGAGATGGTCTAAACAGGTTAAATTGAACTATAGCATACCACCAGCTTTTCTTGCTTGCTTTTGGAAGTAGGGTCTTGAGATGTACTGGAACTCTGTATTTTTTATTTATTTATTTATTTTTAGGTAGTACTGGGTTTTAATTCAGGGCTGTGTACATAGCAGGCTGGTAATAATACCAGCTGCTGAGCCATGTCTCCAGGCTTTTTGGTCCAGAATTTGTGATCCTCCTGCTTCAGCCTTCCAAAACTAAATGTTTGGATTACAGATGTACCCTACACCAAACTAGGTACCATCAGAGTTTTTGTTGGTTTTTGGTATTCTGTTTTATGTTACTGGGATAGAGCCTATCATGCTAGGCAAGTGTCTTGCCACTAGTCATATCCTGGGCTCACCACAGCTTTGGAAACAATTGCTTTATAGAAACATAAGTGAGTTCAGCAGATGTTCCAAACATCTGTAAGACCTGTGAAAACTAAAATATTTACTATCACTTTCTCATTTCTTCTCTTATTATCCAGGTTCAACTACGACATATGTCATCAGTCGAAGTCTTAATTTACTGCTTGTGTCACATAGTTCAGAGCAGAGTATGTGAGGGTTTAGTTTTAGGTTCTAAACCTGATTTTGAAAATAGGTTAATTTACCCTTCTCCTAGGAAGCACATTTCATCCAGAATCCAAATGACACAAATGTTTCCTGACCACTTGCTATCACAAAAATTAACATTTTATTTGGTATCACCAGATAAATACCCACTAGGGTATTTAAAACAATCAGTTTCAAAATATATCATTCAAAGTAGTGAGACTTTGGGTGATTGTTTATTAATCTATTGTGTTAATTTTTAATTCTAAAAAGTATATATTAAACTATTATATCTATTTACCTAGTATATGAAACTATGACTCATAAAATAAAATTCCAAAACAGCTAACCTGTTAATAAGAGTAGTTCTGACTTTAAGACAGCACTTAAGGTGAGGAAAGTAAGCATAAAAATCTTGCCAGGAGTGGTGGCTCAAGGCTGTAATTCTAGCTATTTGGGAGACAGAAATCAGGGGATGGTTGTTTGAGGCCAGCCCAGGCACAAAGAAGTGGGCAAAACTTCATCTTACTCAATGGACAGGCACAGTGCCATGTGCCTGTTATCTCAGCTCTGGGAAAAGCACAAGTAGAAGGACCTTAGCCCAGAACAGTCCAGGTATAGAAGAGTGACCCTACCTAGAAAATAACCAACATAAACAGGGGCTATCGCTGAAGTGGTAGGGCATCTGTCTGCTTAGCAAGTTAAAAGCCCTGAGTTCAATCCCAGTACTGCCAAATAAAACAAAAAACAACAACAACAAAAAACTTTGAAACTACAAATGGATTACTTACTGCCATTGTTTGCCTTGTCAATTTAACCAACACTGTAACCAGGGAACCTACTGTGATGTTGTTACTATCTTCATCATCCAATACTATAAAATCAAAGAGAAAATAAAAATTTTAAAAACTGTTATAAGGTAATATAAACAATAATTATTAAACTTACAAAAATCAATTTGATACTTCAGTACTCCGAGCATATTATATTATACTAAAAAATCATTTATTGCTACTCTGTATATGCTTTAAAACGACTGATTCCTTTAATCCTTACAATAGCTCTACAAAATATAATTTTCACTTTTAAAGAAGAAACCCAACTCCCAAACTGAAGTAAAATGTCCCGTAACACGAAAGCTGGCATTGGTACTGCCAAGTTTCAAACCCAAGTCTTTAAAACCAATGCTAATGTGAGGACTAACAACACAGCTCTGTCACTCTATTATGAAATTAGCAAAGCTTAAAATTCACAAGATTTTACTCATCTACTTAGTGCTTGAACACAAGATTAAAATAATGAAAACTAATACTCTAAAACATCTTAAAGAGATATCTTTTTTTTTTTCTTTTCTGGGTCATGGGGCTTCAACTCTGGGCCTTGGTGCTGTCCCTCAGCTCTTCAACTCAAGGCAAGCGCTCTACCAATTGAGCCACAGCACCACTTCTGGTTTTCTAGTGGTTTATTGGAGATTGAGTCTCAAGGATTTTCCTGCTGGGGCTGGCTTTGAACTGAGATCCTCAGATCTAAGCCTCCTGAATAGCTAGGATTACAGGCATGAGCCATTGGTGCCCGGCTTAAAGAGATATCTTTTAAAGGAAGAACATCAGTATCTTTTCTTTTCACAAAGAAAAGAGTTGTAACCACTCAATTTGGCAGCACATATGCTACAATTAGAATGACAGAGATTAGCAGCCTTGCCCTTGTACAAGGATGACATGAAAATTTATGAAGTGTTCCATAGTTTTTTTTAAATAATGTTACTAATAGTCCAAGCTTTATAATAGGTATTAATTAACTAATAGGTATTAAATTAAATTACACTCAATGTGACTGAGGGAAAAGGGAACCAGAACTCTATGCTATTATTGCAACTTTTTCTCTTAAGTCTAAAATTATTTCAAAATATAAAGTTTAAACAATAGGATTATTACCTGTTAATCTACCATTTAGGAGAGTGAGGTAGGAAAATATAGTTTCAGGCCAGCCTAGACTACACAGTGTGACCATGTCTCAAAACAGAAAAACAAAACAAAACAAAACAAAAAACAACCAAAAACCCACATATATTTCTTATTAGCAATGCACAGTGGTTCCTAGCTGTTTGCAAGGTGAAACCAGGGGACTGTAGACTAAGGCCAGACTGGGCAAAAAAAAAGTTTACAATACTCGACTAATGGCTGGACAAGGTAGTACAAATCTGTCATCCCATTAACACAAGGAAGCATAAAAAGGAAGATCAGAGTCCAAGACAGCCCCAGATATAGAATAATACCTTAAAAATAATCAACCTAGGTGGGCACTGGTGGCTCACACCTGACCTGTAATCTTAGTTTTTCAGGAGACTGAGATCTGAGGACTGTAGTTCAAGGCCAGCCCGGGGTAAGAAAATCCCTGAAACTCTTATCTCCAATTGACCACCAGAAAACTGAAGTGGAAGCACTTAATTTCAATTAAAGAAAATAAAAAAGAAAAAGAATAAGAAACAATACTGAAGTTGAGCTGTGGCTCAAAGTGGTAGAGCAATACCCTTGACAAATGTGCTCAGGAACAGTGCTCAGGCCCAAAGTTTAAGCTTTACAACCAACCGACAAAAAAAAAAAATTTATCCTAAAGAACTCCAGGGAAGGTGGCTCAGTGGTAGAGCGCTTGCCTTGCATGCTTGAGGCCCTGGGTTCGATTCCTCAGCACCACATAAGCAGAAAAAAAAAGCCGGAAGTGGTGCTGTGGCTCAAGTGGTAGAGCGCTAGCCTTGAGCTGAAGAGCTGAGGGACAGCACCCAGGCCCAGAGTTCAGGCCCCACAACCGGACCCAAAAAAAGAAAGAAAGAAAGAACTCCACAGCCAAGGATAAGATACTGAGTTTAAACTCCACTATGCCAAAATGCTTTTTAATTTTCAAGAATTGCAGCCAGATGTGCAGAAAAGTTCGAGAGACTCATCTCCAATAAAATACTCAGAAAAACCTTCAAGTAGTGCTGTAGCTCAAGTGAACAACACCATCCTTGAGCAAAAGCAGCTCAGGAATGGCATCTAGGCCCTGAGTTCAAGCACCAGGACTGGTACCAAAAAACAGAATTATAATAAATAGTGCTAAATATAATAAATGTTCAGGTATTTAATGTTTAAAAACTGTGTTTGTCATGTCTTTCCAAGGGTAAGGGGAGGGCACAGAAATAGAGACAAAGGGTGAACAATGCAACAGTGGTACTCACTAGACACTGTCGAAAATGAACTGTACAACTTGGGGGTGGGGGGGATGGGAAGGGAGAGTGAAAGAGAACAAAGAAGGAAGTGACACTGTCCAAAAAGAAATGTACTCCTTACCTGACTTTGTAACTGTAGCCCTTCTATACACCACCTTTTTAATGAAAATATTTAGAAAAAAAACCATACTTGACAACTGTATGCTAGTGGCTTATGCCTGTAATCCTAGCTACTAAGGAGACTGAGATCTGAGGATTGAGTTTGAAGTCAGACAAAGCACAAGTCCATGAGACTCTCATCTCTAACTAACCACCAAAAAGCTAGAAGTAGAGCTGTAGCTTAAGTGGTAACACCCTATCCTTGAGCAAAACATCTCAGGGATTAGAAATAGTGCTGTAGCTAAAAAGTGGTAGAACACTAGCCTTGAGCAAAGGAGCTCACAGATAGTGTGTCCAAGCCCTGAGGTCAAGCCCCAGCATAGAAAGGAGGAATGAAGGAAGAAGGAAGGGAGAGAGGGAGGGAGGAAGGAGGAAAAAGGAGAGGGAGGAGGGAAGGAAGGAGGGAAGAAAAGTACTGGTCCATACATGCTCAAAAACTCTATAATTAAACTGAAGTTAAAATTAGGGAAACTTAGCAAACAGACTTTCCATTCAATCAATCTATTCTTTTTACTGTTTTATTTTTCCTATAAGAGATTTCTTTACTATTTGGTCAATTGTTTTGTTTGTTGTTTTGATGCCAATACTGGGGCCTGAACTTAGAGCCACACTTCCATTTCTGGTTTTTTGCTCATTAATTGGAGATAAGAGTCTCTTGGATCTGTCTGCCTTGGCTGGCTTTAAACTACAATCCTCAGATCTCATCCTCTAGAGTAGCTAGGGATTACAGGCATAAGCCACCGCGCATAGCAATGTCCAGTTTTTTTAAGTTTGTTATGACTGTTTTACAGATTTAATGTAGCATATAGTTCTGGTCTTTCTTTTTTTTGGGAGGGAGGGTCCGGTTGTGGGGCCTAAACTCTGGGCCTGGGCGCTGTCCCTCAGTTCTTCAGCTCAAGGCTAGCGCTCTACCACTTGAGCCACAGCGCCACTCTGGCTTTTTTCTTTTTGCTTATGTGGTGCTGAAGAATTGACCCAGGGCCTCATGCATGCAAGGCAAGTGCTCTACCACTGAGCCACCCTCCTAGCCCCTGGTTCTGGTCTTTATTAAACACCAACAACTGTAAATTAATGGTTCTAATACCTTATAACTGTTAACTCTACTACCAACTTCCAGGTATGATATCTGTACATCAACCAAGTATATAGTATTTTTTCTTTAATCTGGTCCATGTGCCTATCTATATTTTTCATTTTGCAAAGTTGTATATATATGAGAAAAACATTTGATATAGCTGCCCTTTTTTTTTTTTCCTTTCTTTTTTTGTCAGTCGTGGGGCTTGAATTCTGGGCATGGGCGCTGTCTGGTCTTTTGTTTTTTTTGGGGGGGGGGGGGGGAGGGCCTAGATGTGGGGCCTGAATTTTGGGCCTGGGCGCTGTCCCTCAGCTCAAGGCTGGCTTTGAACTGTGATCCTCAGATCTCAGCCTCCTCAGTAGCTAGGATTATAGGCATGAGCCACCAACGACCAGCAATATAGCTGCTTTATTGATGCTGACATGCTAATTTGTTGCTTTAGTGAAGAAAAAGCCTACAGAGAGATTCTATACACCCCTGGTGATAAGGGAAACAAGAGGCTCAACATCTCTACACTCTACTATGATGTACCTTTGCTTCTATAATTCTTCTCTTGTTTCCAACTACAACCCTCACATTACAGTTTGATAACACTATAAAAATATAAACTGTCTATAGGAAGTGGTATACACTAGGACACATTGGTTTTGTGGTTGAGAATGAGTATTCTTTCCTTGATCCTTAAAGGATAATTTCTTGTAACATATGTTCTTCTAAGAAGCAAATGCTTTTTATAATTCTTAATTATATGAAAGTTTATCACTAAATCCTAAACTAGATTTTGAATCGTCATTTAAATTTCCTTTTTGGTTAAATCACTGTAACCCTTTAAGTGCAGCCTTTATATTAGTATTTATAAAGTCTAAAAACTCATGGACAACAAAAAGAAACCACAAATCAGACCAGTAATCCTAGCAGTTCAAGTCCAGTCTGAGCAAAAAAAAATAGGTAGCAAAACCCCAACTCAACAAATAAGCTGGGTATGTTGGCTTATTAAGGTAGTACTGCAGGATTATTGGAGTGAGCCTTCAGTGCCCAGCCTCACTTGGTTTTAATCCTCTCATCTAGCTAAATGATAAAGACAAACTATTTCTAAGATGTCCCTATATTTCTGATGCCTATAGGAATGTTCTTACAACAGTATCTCAAATGTTAAGCTCAGAACTATACCACTAAAAAGGAACAGATAAACTCCAAGTCTATAAGTGTTCAATATGTTACTCAGCTATTAAATGGTCATGGAGCAATTATGTAGATAGAAAAATAATCATTTGCACTTAAAATAGACTAAAAGGTAGAGATACTGTTAAATATGGCAGGAAGCATGATACTTTCAAGATAATATAAAGTTGGGATTTTAAAAATTAATGGTTATTCCTTTCACAGATATTTAACAATATATTTGAAATATCTCATTCTTTATTATACCTAGAAATCTCCCAGGTATTCCTTAAAGCTAAGTTACAAAATAGAATTCTCACAGTTAATACTACTATAACAAAAATAAAAACAAAGTTGTTTGTGTTTTCCTAAAAACCAAATAGACATCATTTTTCATAATAGAAGTCTAATAGTAAACTACCAATCTGTAAAGTCTACTTGCAAGCACTGTTATTAAATGTTTTGAGAATCCTGAGTCAAATAAATGAGAAGCAATCAACAGGGGAGCTTTACACCTACCCTGGGATTTTATATCCATGGTCACATATGGAAAACTCCCAAGGACAGCCATAACTTCTTCATATTTTTCATCTTCAAGGAAATGTAGTAGACTATGACGATCTGATTCTTTTAAACTCACCAAATCCTGGATAGTTTTAATTTTGTACTATTGAATAAAGAAAGAAAACAAATACAACTTTTCAGAAAAAGAAAACTCTTGACATGTCATCTGCAGGAAAATAGAGCAAGATAAGTCAAGCTCAAAAAGTTAAAAAGCACGTGTTTTTGCTCATATCTAGACCTAAAATAGTGTTGTAGTAGTAGCAGTAGTAGTTGTAGGAGCAGCAGCAGCAGCAGCAGCAACAGGACATGAGTGTTAAAATGGAACTGTCTGGTGGTTAGAAGCTGTGGAAGAGAGAAGGTACTGGATAGTGAATATGACCAAAACACAGTATGTATGTACATGAAATATATACAATGAAACATACTAAATACTGTTTGTTCATTGCTTTTGTCAGTTATAGGGCTTGAACTCAGAGCCTGGGTATTGTTCCTGAGCTCTTTGGCACAAGGCTAGTGCTCTACCACTTTAAGCCACAGCTCCACTTCCAGTTTTTGAGTAGTTAACTGGAGTTAAGAGTATCATG